ATATACAAATCTTTATCTAGCTTATGAAAAAAATATTAAAAAATCATTGATCTTTACTAGGAAAATGCAATAAAATGTGTGGTGAAAAGTCACCTGTTCCAGAGCTACTGTGTTTTTTCCCAGTTAATTATTTATTTAATAACCACATACTTAGAAGAAGCATTTCATTACAACAGCATTGACATATTCAATAACAATTTTCTGAGCTAAGATACATCTTTTTCAAAATTGGCTGTAAATTTTTAGGTTTACAGTTGAATTATTATGGTTATACAATATTGTACTCAGTATAAACCCTATAAGACATAAAATTAAATGATGTCTTAACCTTTAAAAAAAATCTCATTTCATTATTAAAATACAGTTTCATACAGAAAAATTCATTTTTAATGCAATTGACATTAAGATGTTTACACATGTGTTTCTAACCTCTATATAAATGATTAGCACTAGTGACAATCGGTTACTTTCTGAGATCCTTGGCATCTGAGCATGGATATAATGTCATCAGGTAGATTTAAATGGTAATGTTTTTCACATCTACTAATTATTAAGGAGAAAATTTTTATGCTTTAAAGAATTATTTTTTAATCATTACATTTTTAAAATTTTTTAATAACTACATGATTAGAAGAATTTCACTACAGATTTAAAGTATTCAGTAACACACTCCAGAGCAAGAGTACATCTCTTTCACATGTGGCTGTAAGTTCCTAGATTGATAGTTGTATTAATAGAGCTATACAACATAGGCATACACAGGTGCCAAGGATCCAAGTGTAACCAATTATGACTAGTAATAATCAAATGCATACAGATTAGAGATCCATGCGCAAACATCTCAGTGTTAGTAGCAAAAACAATGAGTCTTTCTGTAAGGAACAATATATTCTAAAATGAAATGGAGATCTTTTTAAAAGGTTAAAAACTCATTCAATTTTATGTCTTACAGGGCTTATACTAAGTTCAATATTGTATAACTGTATTAACTGTGAACCTAGAAACTTGCACCCACTTGTGAAAGAGATGTACTCTTGCTCTGGAGTGTGTTTTATCTACATGACACACAGTAGCTACTATGTTTTAAAAAGTAAGCAGCAAGTGTTTGAGAAATGTAAACATCTAGGCAACATTATTCACATAGAAAATATGTGGAAACAAGCCACATTTCCATCAGTAGATAATAAATAAACAAAACATGAGATCTATGCTATAAGAGAATATTAAGAAGCCTCAAAGATAAGGAAATTATGAGATGTTACAATATCAATGCATTTTGTATAGATTATCCTTAAATAAATGAGTCACAAAACACATATATTGTACAACCTCGCTTATGTGAGATATCTGGAGTAATCAAACCCACAGAAATGGAAAATAGAGTGTGTTTGTCCAGGGCTAGGGGCTATGGATAGAGATATGCGGAGTTGTTAAATTAATATAATTTATCAGTTTTGTAAAATGAAAATTCTAGAAGCTGATTCTCCCAGCAATGTAAATATGCTTAACTCTACTGAGTTTTACACTGAGAAATGGTAAAGATGGGAAAATTTTTAAAATGAACTATTACAGTTTAGAAAAGATACACTTTTATTTATTTTTTTTTTTGGTCTGTTCTGGGGTTTGACTCAGGACCTTGTGCATGTGAGGCATTCTAGGAGCTGAGTTACATCCCCAGTTATAAAATAAATTTTAACTCACTGACTTGCACAGTTCTACTGCCTTTCCATATGAAATCAGAGGATTTCATACAAATAAATAATCTAGAATGTAAAGAAAAATAAAGTTCTGGCAGACATTTTAAAAGTACAATAAGAGAAAACAGCAGATATTAAAAATACTCAACATACAAGTATCAAAATTTTAGAGATGCTACTACTGAAAAATCACTACAATTACTTTAATTCAGTATACAGTATAGTGTTAGAACATTTAAACAGAGTTTTGTTCCAAATTTTGACTGAGAATCGATAGCCACATATTATCTTGGAAGTTTTACATCTCAAATTCAACTTTTCATTTTTCCTAGGAGTAAAAGTAATGATTTGTCCTATACTTAGTATTTCAGTTCTCTGGGAACACCTGCTTGTTACCATATTCTAAACAGGGAGGTATATACCGGTATAAAAACCCACAGAGGAAGAATGTTCACTTCTTATTTAGAAGTGAAAGTTTAAAGAATTTTTGTGAGCTGGGGAACTCACTCGTGGTAGAGGGTTTTCAGTGCACACAAGAGAACCTAAGCTCATTTGCCAGCACCCACATGAAAAGTTGAGTGTTGTTGGAATGAAGTCTGTAACCCCAGTGCTGTGGGAAGCAGAAACAGGGCCAGCCAAGCATGGGGAACTCCAGCCTCAGTGAGAAATCCTGTCTCAAAGCAAGAAAGTGGAGACTGATTGATCAGGACACTGGACATCCTCTTCTGGCTTCCTTGAGCACACTTGAACATGTGTGTGCACATAAACCACCCCCCCAAACACCCCCCACACCCCAAACACAAGTTTTGTGGCATTAAGTTGACAACTGATTAGAGTATTGACACCTTAGTAGGTTGTGTGTGTTCTGAATATACAACTGTCTTGCTGATTTATCCCTCACAGAAGCTAATACTCAATTTAAGTGTTAAAGCTCTTTTGACTTGGGCTAGAAGAATTGCACTCAGTGTCCAATGAAGGCATCAGCATCTGTAATTGGAAATAAGTATGATAGGGTCCCGATTTTCTGTGTCTTAATAATAAACTCTTTAGAACAAATTTGTAACTTTGCAAGCTTTTTTAAATCTCCACTTGAATTTGAATCAAAATGATTAACTTCTGAATTTAACATTTGTAAAAATTACAATTCCCGCCAGGCATGGTGGCGCACACCTTCAATCCCAGCACTCGGGAGGCAGAGGCAGACGGATCTCTGTGAGTTCAAGGCCAGCCTGGTCTACATAGTGAGTTCCAGGATAGCTGGGGTTACAGGGAAGACCCTGCCTCAAAAAGACCAAAAAAAAAAAAAAAAAATCACAATTCCCTGTAGTGGGTACACAAACAAGACTATGGAGAATACTTACGAAGATATAATTCTGGAAGCAATCGTACCTTTTAAACTTGGATCAGTGGAGGAGGCAAGCAATTTGTTGAGGGCTAATTTAAATTCTTTATTTCATTTCTGCTCATTACTACACATAATACAGAGGTTCTTATACTTTAAAGTTAGGGAGGTAAAGGTTTGAAAGAGTGTAAAAGTTACCCCAAACAACCCATTTCACATGTGTAGGGTCTTAGATTTGAAATGGTTCTCTTGACTCCAAAATCTTATGCACTGAAATTTATAGGCATTTTATTTTGTCCCAGTTTTATTACAGTTGCCCATACTATCTCAACTGAGAGGCAGATACAAGTTGTGTGATATATATACTGTGTCTGGTGAAATTTTGAAAGATAAATCCTAAGTTGAGTTCAGAGGAATGTATTCTTTGAATCTTGAGTAGACTTGTCAAATGTTAGGAGATAAAACATTGCATCTAAAATTTCCTGCTTTTGCAGACCAAGTTCTGACTCATTTAAGCATCCATTATACAGATAATTGTGTATCATTTACAATAGACTTATAATTTTGATCAGAGAGTGAAAATGATTTTAAATTTAATGTATATTACTCCTTTTTTTTAAGTGTGTTCCTATATAGCCCGTGAACTTGACTTGAACTCACAATATTCCTGTCTCAGGCTCCTAAGTGCTGGGATTACATGTGCCCACCACCCCAGCTTGTGAATTAAGCTTTCATTTGCATTTTTATTTTTCATTGATTGATGAGAAGTTTTGTATAAATATTAGAATTCTAGAGTTTTGAAATTGGAAGGTTTCTAAGTGCTTATTATTTTATATTTTATTTCTCCTGTTGCAGCTATGTAGTAAATTAACCAGGCAAAATTCTATTTATTTCCAAAATATCTCATAACTTGAATCTTAAAAAATGCTCCAAATAATATATTCTGGCTCCTGACTCTAGGGACCCTTCCATGTTTTCTAATTATATAGAAATTATCAACATACTCCAGGAAATTCAGTCAATGATATTTAATTAACATCAATTAGATATTCTGTCCATTTAATAATTTATCCCATCAGATAAGGAACCTTTTAAAAGACTTCAAAGCTCCAATCCAAAACTATTTAGTATTGCTTGATCTAATAGCATTCGTTTTCTTTTAAAAATTTATTTAGTTTTTAATGTATGTGTCCGTGTCAATGTATGTGAGTATGTGTACATGTGAGTATCTGCTGAGGACATAGGTATGGGATCACCTAGTCCTGGAGTTACAAATGGTTGTGAGCCACCTGATGTGTGTGTTAGGAACTAGACTCTTGTCATCTGCAAAAGTAGCAAGTGTTCTTAACCACTGAGCTATCTCTCTGGCCCAAGTGTACATTTTCTTAACATCACAATTTCCTGAATAGTGCACAATGATATTAAATATTCCAATTTAAAATGCCTCAACACTAGTTATCTTCTTAACTTGATGCTTTAAAAATGAAACATTTAGTCTGTCACTGCTGTAGTCTGAATATTTGTGTCTCTCTCTTCCCCAGTTCACACATCGAAACTAGGCCCCAACGCATTAGTACTAAAAGGAGCAGTCTCAAGAGACAATTGCAATGTGATGGATGGGGTTATCGCCTTTAAATAAGAATCCCCAGAAAGACTACTGGCTTCTTTCATCATATATTACTGTAGTTAAAAGTAAGTATCATTTCTGAAGACAGTGAGCCTTCACCAGAATTTGCTGCTACTTTCATTGTTTTCAATCCCTGGAACTCCAAGATATACATTTCTGCCTTTTATATATTATCTGATCTTAGGTGTTTTGTCATAGCAATTCTACTAGAGTAGACTAGTCACAATGAGAATATATAAGTGTACTTCTAAATGAAACCATGATAGCAGCACAGAAGTCTGGATTAGTGAATATGAATCACACAGGATCTGGGGAATGCGAAAACAATTCTTACCTGAAATGTGTTAAGTGTCTCTGGATGTCAAGGTCTAGAATTGGAGTGGGTCTGGAGGATCCCAGTGGTGATCTATCTTGGCTCAGAAGGTCTTGGAATTCTTTACAAATTTGTCTAAAATAAAAGGAACAAACTTGAAATTGAACTATTAAAATGGGACTTTAATTTCATGTGATGCTATTTATCAAAATTTTCTCTCTCTTTCAGAGGAGCCAGGAAAACATCTCATACTGCTGTCTCTGAAGTTCCGTCCATAGCACACCATGACTTTGTTCCTTAGGGCCACAGAATAATCATAAACTATTTCCAGCAAAGAAGAATTCTAGGACACTGAGAAGCCAATGATCATTTTTAAAGTGAGTCTTAAAAATTAACCTCAGGATAAATGAAAATTAATAAGAAAGAACTGTAAATAAGTATTGTTCTTAAAAATATTTAAAATGTGGTTTTTAGAACATAACATCTACAAACAAGTTTAACAAAGTTATAGGCTTACATCATTCAGAGCCATGACTCAAGTTCATTTTGGAAAATTCTTTTATCCAGTACTGCAATTAATTCACTCTTGTCAACAATTTTCATGTCTCTATGTTTGAAGCCAATGATCTCTTACTCCAAGATTAGTCTACTAGCCTTAGAAAATTGCTATAGAGTATTTCACTTCAGCTGGTATATTGCAGACATTTTTGTTACACTCCTTGCTCTCTGTGGATGTAGATTCTAGCCTTTTGTTTGTTTAGTCAAGAACATTGCTGTTAAAGCCCTTGTGATGTGTAAGTCCAAATGACATAATTCTAAAGGAACATAGTATATGAGAAAAACAAAACTTTTAGGGACTGGATAAATGGCTCAGCTGTTAAGAGAACATACTGCTCTTGCAGAGGACCCAAGTTCAGTTCCCAGCACTCACATGAGGTGGCTCACAACTGCCTGTAACACCAGCTCTGGGGGATCTGATGCCCTCTTCTAGCTGCCTCCACAGCGCCCACATGTACATGCACAAAACCCTTTCACATAAGTTTTGAAAAATCTTTTTTAAAAAGAAAATCATTTTTAGCTTGTCTCTGTGTGGGGGCTTATAATGTGTATATGTGTGTATGCATATGTTTCTTCATAAGTGACTATGAATGTGTGTGCAGCATGCTGTGGCATACTTGTGGAGACCAGAGGACAGTCTCAGGCGTTGGTCTTCACCTTCCACCTTGTTTGAGACAGTATCTCTTGCTTTGCTGTTCCATTAGCCAGGTTAACGAACCTTCCAGCTTCTGGGGATTCTCCCGTCTCTGACTGCATCTCACTGTAGGAGCACTGGGATTCTAGGCACATGCTCTGCACCTCAATCTATGTGGCTTCTGGGGATTTGAACTGAGGCCTTCACACTTGCAAAGCAAGTTGTTAACCATTGAAAGACCCCTCCCCCCATCCTCAGTACAGAAAGTAAGATTTTGTGGGATTTTTGCTTTTGTTTTTTTTTGAAACAGTGTCTCATTGTATAGCACTGGATGGCCTAAAACTCATGATGTAGACCAGGATAGCCTTGAACTCAGAGACTTGCCTGCCTTGCCTCCCAAGTGCTGAGATCAAAGGCATATGACACCAAGACAAGCCAGAAAAGAAGTTTTTTAAAAAATACATAATACACTAAATTAATGTAGAAGCTAGAGAGTGAAGTTTGGGACAGTAAGAAATTGCTGGAAAGCATCAATCATCCATGCCAAAGACACTTGATATTAAAGAGATAATATGATCGTGCCTTTTTCGTCTGTCTTCATGAGTGATCACAAAATTGAGGCAACCTGGATTATCATTAACAATCACAGAAGGGATGTATCATCCGAATCAATCATGGGGCCAATAACTCTGCTCCGAAGCACTTGTGCCATTAACAAATGTTTACTAAAAAAGAACAGTAAACCTTAAAGTAAAAATAATTTATTACATAGCTTCCGTAGAATTTGGTATTGTTAAACGTTTAACTTATATTGAATTCTGCTATAGATCACCTGTGATCTTCTACAGAGAATCCGATTCTATTTTCTTGTCGTGTTTCCTTTCAGAGGACTTCCGTATTCATTTTTATGGCATACAGCTGAAAATTTGGTGGGTTCAAGGAAGAAGAACGTTCTTATCTGCTTAAATGAATAGGATCCTCCTGCAATGTGCTCAGAGTTCCGGTTTCTGACGCAGTACTTCACCACATGCAGTTACTGAGTTAGGTGTGTGACCCATACCTTTAATCCCAGCATTTGGGAGGCAGAGGCAGGAGGATCTCTATGAGTTTAAGGCCAGCCTGGTTTACATAGTGAGTTCCAGGACAGCTATGGCTACAGAGAGACGGTGTCTCAAAAAGACCAAAAAAGAAAAAAAGACCTGTCTACTGTCACTGAGAATACTTGCTTGGAACCTCTCTGTTCAAAGTGAAGCTCAGTTGGGTAGCTTTCGGAATATTAGTTGTATTTTAATAATTGAAGCAACTTTACTTACATATTTGATGATATTTTTATGGTGCCACAACTCTAGTGCTTTGTGTTACTGATACATTGTTATATTTGTTTTAAAGAAATTTCTAACTAAAAACTGAAATGTAGTCTATGCCCTCATTTTTCTAACAATATGCATTCCTGTGCCCATCATTACTATGCATTCTCACAAAGAAAGACCAGACTGGTTCCAAATCCAGTCCTTTAATTTTCTCTGAGATTGAAATAAATTTTCAGCAATTAAAGACTGATGTTCATTTATACCACAGAATAAACTAATTTATAGTTTAGCAAAATCACCTCATTCTTATACAAACAGCACAGCAAGCTATAATAAAATTGGTAAATAAAGTGTAGAAAACTTGAACCCATGCTAAATAATTTAACACAACACATAAAACTGCAGCAGCAGTAGCATCAGAATTCTCTATTTGAATTTTAATTCTGTCACTGGCACAAGATGGCTTATGTACTTAAATACAGGTAATAATCCCATGGTTCTCCATGGCAATTACCACCTTCTCCGCTGTACACTTAGAGAATTATTATTTTGCCTACATTCATTCTTATTTAAATTTCTGTATCTGAAACTGGAACATGAAAGACTCCTTTGTCTCAAAACCAGATGTCATACGATGAATTATGTAACAAAGATGATCTTGGATGATTCATTCTTTCTAACTTTGTCACTTACGTCATTGTCCTTAAGGAGGTGAAATTTTTCAGCTGATTTCTGAATTTAAAGTTGCGGTTTCTACAACTGACTATTGCTGTTAAAGTGAAAATATTCAAATTAAAATAGTTAACTGAGGGGCTGGAGAGATGGCTTAGGGGTTAAGATCACTGGCTTCTCTTGCAGAAGAACCTGGTTCGAATCCCAGCACCCACATGGTGGCTAACAACATCTATAACTCCAGTTGCAGGGGATCTGATGCCCTCCCTGACCTTTGCAGGCATTGCATGACATGAGTGCACTTACATACATGCAGGCAATATACTCATACACATAAAATAAAAATAATAAACAAAATATTTAAAAACTATGCTGAAACATAGTGAAATTTGTTATTCTTTGAGATAGCAAAGAGCCATGCTGGTCGGTTGGAAGGGCAAATCAGTGATTGGATGTCTCATTCAAATAATTTTGTATTTGTGTATATTTTAAATTGTGTGTGTGTGTATGTGTGTGTGTGTGTGTGTGTGTGTGTGTGCCATGTCACATGTGTAGAAGTCAGAGAATAACTTGCAGGAGTTAGTTCTCTCCTTCCACTATGTGGGACCAGGGGATGCAACTCAGATTGCACACTTGGTGCTAAGTTCCCTTACCTGCAGAGCCGTCTAGCTGACCCGACTTTTACATGTTCTACATATCCTACATACACACATATTCTTCAATAGCCTCGTTGCTAATCAAGAGAGGTTTGTAAGCCTTGATTAATTAGTGCAGATAGGTAGAAGTGCCCTGGCACTGTCTAGATGCTAGAGTGTGAGAACCCTTGTTTTAGAGAACTGGTGCTTTCTGGACTGTCTCACTCAAAGAAAAGAGGAAAACAGGATGAAAGTCCACAGAGGCATCTCCGTGGTGCTTACTTGGTCGCTAAGATCATCTTTTTCCGTGCTGTCTGTTCTTTCTGTTCCATATGTTGTCTGGCAAGATGTTCTCCCACAGCTTTGGCTGGAAACTCTGTTTCACATGTGTAGCCAAAATCCCGAGCCAAGTGCAAAGCCTCTCCTGTTGGCAGACAACACGTCAGTCTCTTATAGATATCGGATCTTATAACAACAACGCTGTACCAACCGCCTCAATCCAGTCTCACACACTGCAGTGGTCAGTCAGTTCATTTTTCTCTATCCAATTTAAACAGTGCAAGAAAAAGCTTTGGGGGGATGGGGTCAGTCAGTGAGGAATGATGAGGGAAACTGAGGAACAGAGAAGAAATCTTCTAGGCAAGACTGGAAAGTCAATTCTCTTTGAAAATATCATGACTTTAGAGAAGACTGACATCCAAAATTCTGCACACCAATCACCAAGTGAAAAACTGCAGTTGTATCATATGTTGTTCAACTGACACAATCAATAGAGGATTGTTTTTTCCATGAAACCTACAAAATATCCTGTAAAGTGCTCAAAAATCCTTTCCAAACAGTTATCAATTTACAAAACAAAATAATTATATAGGTTTCCTAATGCTTCGCTAGTTTATTAGATGAGCACAGAATTATCATTATTCGGTCCCCTGGAAGGCTTCGATATATGATGCTTCAGAGTAATCAAATCATAAATAACTCCCATTTGTCCACACAAGATTCAGCTCAAGGAAAATTTTAAGAAATAAGTAAAAAAAATCTTATCAAGAAAGTAATATTTAGTGAAGGTATTTAGTCTGGAATGTAAAACTTACTGTTTTAAAATTTAGTCAAAAGCTAGGCATGGTAGCGCACGCCTTTAATCCCAACACTCAGGGGGCAGAGGCAGATGGATCTTTGTGAGTTCAAGGCCAGCCTGGTCTACATAGTGAGTTCCAGGACAGCTGGGACCACAGGGAGACTCTGTCTCAAAAAAGACAAATAAATAAATAAATAAATAAATAAATAAATAAATAAATA